GAATTAATACCGGGCAAAATCCATATGAGTGCAAACTGTGTGATGCTGCCTTCTCCTGTCTGAGTAGTGTGAAGATACACATGAGAAGTCACACAGGAGAGAAACCGTTTAAATGCGCGCTGTGTGATGCTACCTTCTCAACCTCGGGTAATCTGAAGACACACATGAGAACTCACACGGGAGAGAAACCGTATAATTGCGATCTGTGTGATGCTGCCTTCTCACAATTGGGTGCTGTGAAGACACACATGAGAACTCACACGGAAGAGAAACCATATAAGTGCGATCTGTGTGATGCCGCCTTCTCACGACTGGATAATCTGAAGACACACATGAGAACTCACACGGAAGAGAAACCATATATGTGCGATCTGTGTGATGCTACCTTTGCACAATCGGGTAGTCTGAAGAGACACATGAGAAGTCACACGGGAGAGAAACCGTATAAGTGCGGTTTGTGTGATGCCGCATTCTCAGATTCGAGTAGTGAGAAGAAACACATGAGAACTCACACGGGAGAGAAACCGTACAAGTGCGATCTGTGTGATGCTGCCTTCTCCTGTCTGAGTGACGTGAAGATACATATGAGAACTCACACTCAAGAGAAACCGTATAAGTGCGAGCTGTGTGATGCTGCCTTCTCACAATCGGGTAATCTGAAGACACACATGAGAACCCACACGGGAGAGAAACCGTATAAGTGCCAACTGTGTGATGCTGCCTTCAAACAATCTGGTAATCTGAAGACACACATGAGAAACCACACGGGAGAGAAGCCGTATAAGTGCGATCTGTGTGATGCTACCTTCGCACATTCAGTTAATCTGAAGACACACATGATAACTCACACGGGAGAGAAAACAAAGAAAAAGACAAAAGAAAAAATCATTTAAATGTAACATTTGAAGTGAAGAGTTAGCTCTGAAAACACCCTATAATCACACATGGCCATGCATAATAACTCTAGGGCGATGCCGTACAGATGTCAGCAGAAAGTACATCTCGAACTGTCAGACTCACATGTAAGATCAGCTCGGCTCTATGAAGAAGCGAGCACACTGCACACATGTGAACTGGAGCAGTGTGGAATACCTACAAATGCAACTCAATTGTTACAGTTTCTTTCCTAAGTGGAATTCCTGGACTAGGAATTAATTGAGAAAGTCTTGAATCCTTTAAGGTATGCTACCTGACTGTCATGTTTTTGGAGTGTTTTTAATCTACCTAACATGTGGCCATGATAACTCTTTATAACTTGTTGTAAATACCCGTACGTTTGAACACTGATCTAATAATACGCATTGCCGTATTATGATTCAGCAGCGCAGTTAGTATAATTGTGAGTGAAAATATGCATGCGCGGTAGATGGCGCAGGCTATTATACGCGGGGCTATGGGTGGTAGGAAAGTGTACCTGCTCTTATATCTCGTGAACGAGTTGAGTGACATTTCTAGAAATGCTACCTCTCATAGACCCATGTCGTAGCTATAATCTACGTGAGTGTTGAGTTTAATAAAGCGCGGTTAGTTTAATTAGAGTGAAAATATGCACGCGCTGTATCGCGCATAGGCTATTATACGCGAGGCTATGGGTGGTAGGAATGTGTACCTGCTCTTATCTCTTGAAACGAGGTGAATGACATTTCTAGAAATGCTACCTGTCATAGACACATGTCGTAGCTATGATCTACGTGAGTGTTGAGTTAATAAAGCGCGGTTAGTTTAATTAGAGTGACAATGTGCACGCGCGGTATCGCGCATAGTCTATGTTATACGTGGGGCTATGCGTAGTAGGAAAATATACAATAAAGAGCGGTTAGTTTATGTGATCTTTTCTGAATTTGGTGATTTATTAGCTAATGTATCTTCTTTGAATAACATTTTCTTCAAACAAATAGTTAATTTTATTTCGTGAAAAACCGTCTGTTTCCATTGCGAGCATAATATTTAATTATGCCCTTGTATTCGATGCTCGTTCTGCACACATTAATTGTAAAAAAAACTAGAACTACGTTCAAGTTGACGAAAGGTTGTGTGCTTACAACTGTTCATTTTGCCTTGTTTCCTTATTCTGTGTAATAATTATTAAAAAATTTAGTATGAAGATACAGTATTTGAATGATTACACAACTATTTGAACCTATTCCTATGATCTAACTTCAGTAATAGTTCTCGGTATTACTATTAGGGGTAGGGGTAGGGGTAGGGTTAGGGTAGTCCCAGCCGTAGGAGAAACTCTTAGTGCCATCTATTATTATACTAACCTACGTCTACTATTCTGGAGCACATTCAGTAGAATTTCTTCGTGGAGGAAATAAAACAAGAAGAGAACAGGAGAGAAGGTTGCAGAAGCGAGCAAAAAGCAAAATATTGCATTGAATAAACAGAGGCAGTGTATAGCCGATAAAATGACTCGAGAGCTGTGTAATGTACCTGGGATCGGGATCATCCGGGTTCCTGAGAAAAAAGGTTACGTATGAATTATGCAAGTGTAAATCTGTGATAAGCAAGCTGTTATGTTTGATGCTCACGCATGTGCAAAGTCAATGCAGATATCGTTTTAGAATAACTCGTTTGAATTGATTCTACATCATGCGTGCATACCACGCGACACACATCTCCCTTTGATGCGACGTCTGGTTGGTCATATATCATAACATCTCTCTCCTCTTTAATGAAAATAAACACTTCCTGCGTGAGTGCTTCATAGGCATGCACTAAAAATATATATGTAACTCAAATTATTTTAACAGTTTAGTGTTATCAGCCCTAATGCTATAGACGAGCGCAGTCCTAGCATCGTGTATCCTTGTGCCTCTGTCACATGAAAACTTAGGTCATGCGTTTTGCCCCTATGGTGACAGCGTTCTTCGAGTGTGCCATATATTGCTTGATCTGCGATCCACCATATGCATGTAGTTTTACTGTCGAGTGTTTCACGGCTATCGGTCTCCCGTGTTGATCTGTTCCGTCTGGGTATATCTGTCTGTATACGTGTACTGACATTACGTCGGTCTGAGTACCACTGTCAATTTTGCATTTTACACTGTAGATGCGTTTATTGTCGGTCCTGACAATTATGTTGGCGAATGCCTGATCTTTTGGCACATCTTTGTGTATAGTCTCGATCTTTACTGCCTCTAACAGAAACCCGTCAAACTGCTCAGTGATGTCATGCACCTGTCCACTGTCAGTGTAGTGTTTAGTCTGGCTTCTCGGTAAGATTCTCTCACCATACGGCCTTGATCTGCTTGTGGCCCCTGTTGCTGCATGTTGTGCTTTCTTTCTAGCAATGCAAACTCTGGCCCAGTGCCCAACTTTATGACAAAAGTTGCACTGTGAGCTAACAGCAGGACACTTGCTGTCACGTGCATGGGCTCCACCACAGTTCCAGCACCCCTTATTTGGCATGTCAACATGAGCAGACTTGTTATTCATTCTAGGCTTTGTATCGCCTGCACGTTTACGTACGACTTTATTAATTAGGCCGTGCACCCTCATCGCACCTTGTATCTCACTCATTTGGTTGATTGTTGTCTCATAGCCTCTTACCATGGCTATTGCCTGGTCAAGTGTTAAAGTACTGTCTCTTGCAATTAATTTCCTCTGAATGTCTTTGCTGTGCACACCTGCTATTAGAGTGTCCAACAGTTGTTCGTCTGTATCGGTGTACCCACACTCCCTTGACACAATCCGTGCACGCCTCATGAATGCGTCCACGGTCTCGCTTGGGTCTTGTGTCAATGCACGTAATTGAAACCTGGCTACTCTAAAATTGGACTTTGGCTTAACGTAGCTTCTAAACTTCTCCCAGTGTAGAGCAAGGACTGAGGCTTGTGCAGCTGTCAACTCCCAGCTCTCCCGAATGTCTCTGCCCTCTTCACCTATCCACAGCATCAAATACTGGGTTTTCACTGCATCCGATTTACGTTCCAGTGGGCCTTTAAATATAAACTCACATGTCTGCTGAAATTTCCTGAATGCCTCTTGGAGGTTATTTGCATTCCAGTCCATGAAGGGTATCGGTATACCTGTGAGCTCAGCCATCTTTGCTTTGTGTTGCGTGTTTCACACCTCAACGAGTCCTGTATATTCCTCCACAACTGCGTACGCAAGTCTATGTTACCAGTGTAAGGTCAATCGCTGTGCTGTACTTGCAATCCCTATGTCAAGTAGGTGTACCATACTGAGGTTGTTTCGTCTTTGCCGTTAGCAAACTGCTGCTATTGTGACGTGACGTTTGACTTCGTATCCCACTTCTGACACCATGTTATGTTTGATGCTCACGCATGTGCAAAGTCAACGCAGAATCGCAGATATCTTTTTAGAATAACTCGTTTTAATTGAATCTACACCATGCGTACATACCACGCGACACACATCTCCCTTCGACGCGACGTCTGGCGGTCATATATCATAACACAAGCTGGAAGCACTCTGAATTCAGATTAGATGTTGCAATGTAGTTATGCAAGCAGAAAATGAAGATAATATTCTTAGCCTCTGTAAGGGCTCTAGAGTGTTTAGCGTAGCAGTCTGATAACTAATAACTGATAACCTGAATGATGTGCGCAGCAACTCGAGAGAGGGAGGATTCGCTCCCTATGACGGAATAGCCAGTCCCATAGTATAGGCATAGATAGTCTCACATCAATGTCGTACAGATGTAA